AAAAGATGTTGTCAAATGAATAATTTTTGAAAAAAAAGTAAACATATGATTGCATGACTTTACTTCCTTGATTCTACTATGAATTTACCTTATCAAATTTATCTTCATTGAAAACATATTCCCATTTCTGATTTGTAAATTAACATATACAAATAAATAAACATTTTGACAATGAGATGTTGAAAAATGTATAATTTTTAAAATATTGCAAACATATGATTGTATGACGTTACCTTTTTAATTCTACCATGCTAGAACTTCATACAGTTACTTTTTATTGCCTACTAAGTGTTCCCATTAGACAAGATAGCATGAACGCGTTTGGATTTTGGACACAAGCCAGAGTTCAACCTAATATGTAATACAATGTTCAGAGATAGGATTCACATTTTCCAAAAAGTACCATTTAATGCAAAATTATAAAGCATCGAACAACAAGAAATTCGTGAAATAATATACGCATGTGTATCAGGATTTATTTGAAGTAAGATATTTGAAAATCGACTTCAAACAGATCATGAAAAATCAAAGATGATAAAAGATTTCAAAGTGTTAAACGAGTTAGAATTTATGGTGATTTGAAATAAATGATACAATTAATTCATAAAAAGTTTGCCACAAAGGAAATTTGATTTTCCAAGGACAAATGGCAGATGAAATAGTAACTCAACTTTTTTGACAAAATTTCAACGTGTGATTTGAGACTAATCATTTACATAGTTAACACTTTTCACTTTTAGACGACGTTTATATATTTCTTTTAACTGCGAAGTGTTTGGATTTATTTGACTTCGCTGAAAGTATTTCTAATAGAAACCATATTCCGTGAAGTTGCCACTTCTAAAACAAAACAGATAACACTTTGCACGTTTAAACTATATGTAAACATTGCATAAAACTCATAGTTTCAAAACAAAACAATGTCATACACACATGTTCTCACTTTACAATACAGAGGCAATAAAGGCGTCTTGCTTCGGGGTTGATGATTAAATCTTCCTTATTAGGTAAAAGAAAATTGCGTTTACATTGAAGCCCCTTTTCATGATAATTTAAATTTGAGACAATATCATATATCCATTAATATTAATAGAGAATATTTGTCAAGTGCATCATGTTAGAGCAGTAATCATGATAAAATGTAGTATTACCATGTTCTCCCTTTGCGTTGAAATCACAGTGAAGCATGACACCTTTATTACATTTGTATCCTTAATCTGAAAACCTATGAAGATCGAAATTATTATTTGAAGTAGTTATTAAAAAAAAGATATAGGAAAATATTGAACAACAATTACAAGCAAACACTAACACTAACCAAAAAAATACTATATTAAAATTATTAGTTAAATTGTTACGGTTATTATTACGAAATATCTTCACGAAAATAAAACTTAAACAATGAAAACCAAAAAAAAAAAAAAAAAAACATCTCCCCAAACGAGAATTGTAATTTAATATCGAAAGTAGATGAAGACTAACTGAAATAGAAACTAAAAAAAAAAAACAAAAAAACAAAAAAACTCTAAAATATGGCTTTGTATAGCATTCAAAATGAAACGAATTCAATTTATGTTCTTAAAACCACAACAACAACAATTCTATGAAAAACTATTAAAATGGCCCCCAAATTCATAAAAAAAAACCAAAAATTCATCGGGCAAAAATCATAGAGAAAATATTCAATACCATAAATGAATGATTAAGAAGATAACATTAGGTGTAATTATTATTATTATTTATTTAAATAAATTAGTTTCATTAAAAACAAATTATGAAAGAAAAAACAAATAAAACAAACAACAACAAAAGAAAAAGACAAAAATTTACATAAAAATTAAAAAAATGTCAATGTTTTTTCTTTAGCAATAAAGGAAGGAAAAAGGTAAGTAAATAAGATCATTCTGTTCTAGGTGTATTCATGGCTCAATAAGAAAGGTTGCTCAACTTCAAAGAAACTAGGAAAATACAACTCTGCGCTGGAGTCTTATAGTGACAAATAGACCTTTAAATAAACAACGGTTGGCTTTATTTATTTATTTATTTTTATTATTTTTTTTTTTTTGACAAAATGCATATATTGAGAAAACCCGCGAAACAAGAATGAATTTCGGGGTTATACCAGAAGATTGAATCTAAAATAGTAGGACACATGGTACAATAAGGAGGTAGAACAGCTTCGTAAAACTACAGAAATACAGCCCTGAGGCTATGCCCGCTTCCTGTCAAATTTACATGCAACAAGTTGTTTTCACTTATTCAGAATTTTTCATCATTTTTACAATCTGTTAAACAGCGGGAAAAATGAATGAAATGCCTGGATTTTCTTTCGAAATTATGATCTAAATAGTTCTATCTTTCAATTCCATGGTAAAACTGGCGAATAGCTTTCATGCGCGTATCGCAATTTATGCGCCTTCCAATTATTGATTTGGAAAATATTCTGTTTTTATTTTTCAAAACAACAAATACATACACAAAATTGGCAGAAGTCGGGCACACTTAGAAAAAAATTGTAATCAGCTGTTAGCTCTACCTTACCTTTTTATTGTACCATGGTAGGGCAGTACAGTTTTATCACAAAATTGTAAAATTTATTACCCATTTACGTCGAAAATTTGCATTTATTTTGCACTCAAATTTGAAATAATTTCAAATTAGTGTATTTTTTATTCAAAACAATAGACACACATACAAAAAAGTGTATATTTTTTGCAGAATAAGGGTACCAAAAGAAAAAAATGTATTCAGGGCTTTGTTCTACTTCTGTAATTATGCCATGGGTGTATGTGTTATTTTTTACTAAATCTTTACTACTTGCGGTTATTTACTTATTTGTGCATATCATATCCACCTTCGAAATGTACGTACATTTTGTGCCCCGTGGCAAAAAAATTTCGTAAATGAAATTACCTCTTTAATTCTGCTATGTTCAAAACTATGGTAGAATAGAGAATGTAGGTAGATGCCATGGCAGAAGAATACAGGTAGATGCATTAACGCTTGGGAGCGTTGATATGTCTAAAAAACTTATTTTTTTTTCAAATATAAGTGGATTTTTACATTTTTTCTTATACGACGTCATTCGGAGGTAATTATAATTCGCGTTTTTCCACAATTTTGACAAATTTAAATAATTTTTCATTCAACATTTTCAATTTCAAAATTGGTTTGACAGTTCATTGTCTCAGCAGCTGTGTCGATGCGTCTACCTATATTCTTCTACCATGGTAGATGCATTAACGCTTCCGAACATTGATATGTCAAAAATTTTAAAGATATTTATATGTTTTCTTATACGACGCAAATTAGAGGTTGTTATGATGTGCTTTTTTCAATAATTTTTACAAATTGCAAAAATTGTTCATTCAAATTTCATTCATTTCATTTCATTCAAATTCCAAAATTGGTTTGACAGTTCAGCTGTGCCTTTGTGTTTTAAAACAATTTTTATAAATTACAATAATTTTTTATTCAAAATGTTCAATTCCGAAATTGGTCGATGTGACCATGGTTAAAATAATGCGGGAAACTATTGAAATGTTAGGATTTTCTTCCACAAATGTCTAATAAAAACTATTTAAATATTTTTTTTATTTGCAAAATTAGGTTATAGCCACTGTACAATAAGGAAGTAGAACAGCTTCGTAAAACTACAGAAAAATACTCCTGAAACTAATCCGACGCGTGAAAATAATGAAATGCCTTTCAAAAATATAATCTAAACTTTTCAATCTTTGAATTCCATGGCCAAAATTGTTAAAAATGTTAATGCGCCCTCCGCAATGTGCGTTTCTTCTGATCCATGGTAGAATTAAAAAGGTTCAAGTCATTCAATCATATGTTTACATTTTTTTAAAATTCTTCATTTGGCAACATCTCTCATTGTCATTGTATTTATTGGTCTGCTTCAGAACTTCAAGAATTTTCCCTTTATGATATCGAAGAAAGTTGCAGAACAAGTAGATTCTTGCAGGTTCTGGAACAGAGCATGTAAATCCATTGTACATACACAAATCAGAGATGGGAATCTGTTTTCTATGAAGGGAAATTTGACAAAGTAAATTACAGAAAATTCACAGATGAGTATGCTTATTTGAAATGACATTACTTTTTTAATTTCACCAAGTTCCATTCATAAGCTTTGAAAGTATTTTGTTTTTATTTTTTTTTTCAAATTTAATTGAATGAAAGCAAAAAATATTGGAAGTAGCATCAAATTTTAGAATAAGTTCAGATTTGTTCGAATTTGGTTTAACCTCTAGATTTAGATTAAAATTGTCATATCCATACTTGTACTTCAAATAAATCATCTTAAAGAATGTTAATCCTACAAAAAGTTCTAACGCAAACATGGTAAGTTTACAGTTTGCAGGATTTAGTAAATCCAGTGGATTTAAAATGTAAATTTCATATTGTCAAATAAATCTTATTCATGAGGTTAGCCAAGGAAAAAGCTGTAGTGTAAATATACTGTGAGACAATGAGATATTTCATGGTAGAAGAATGCAGGCAGATGCATCAAAGCTTGGAAGCATTGATATGTCAAAATTTTTGAAATGTTTTTATAATAAATATAAGTAATTTTTTATATGTTTTTTATACTACACCTATCAGAGGTTGTTTGTTTTCTCATAACTTTGGTTGCAAAATTTAAAACATTTTCTAGTAAAGAGACGATTTTCAAGTAAAAAGTTGTTAAAATTGCTTTTACAAAAGAGAGGGCATTAATTGTCAGTTGCAAACAATTGCAAAACCATTTTCAAAATTATTAACAAAAAGTTGATATTTGTGTTTATTTTCAGCTCCTTCATTAGTTTGTTGTTTTGTAATCAAACTATTGTGTAAGTGGTAGTAAAATACAGCTCTAATTTAAGATAATTTGTCTTGTCTTAAGATAATATCGCAAATTTGATGATTTAAATCGCACTTGGGCACTGCGTCGCATTTTAAGTATCACCCTGAACTCACACAACTCATATTTATTAATTATACTTTTCCATCCCTGATGAAAACAAAACTGAACACAACCACAATAATTTTGACATTTGTCAGGTGACATAAAACATGAAAACAACATGAACATGTCGCCCAAAAACAACGATGATCCTTCCGAGAATCCTAGAAACAATGTCGAGGATGCTGATATCCAAGGTAAATGACTAACTCATAAGGATATCCTCAAAGGAACAATAAGTATTTGCTAATATTTTGCAAACCATTTTAGAAATGGAGGCTGTAAACGACAGCTTGGATGAACTGAGTTCGGCACTGGATTTCTTTGAGCAAAGGACAGACAATATTATTGAGCAGCTTAAAGAATTGCTACATTCTAATCGCGAAATACGCCAAGAACTGGCCTTGGAGAATGCTACATCCGGTGTGGACAATTTGAATGTACAAGAGAAAGATACTTAGAAATCGGAATCACTGGGCCTCAATTCTAGTTCTATGAAAATGTGAAATGAAAGCTATTGTAAGGAAATGAAAAGTCAAACGAAAAATTTTATAGAGAAAATATTTTTCATTTCACGTTTTCATAGAACAAGAATCCAGCCCCAGCAGGGTACAACACAAAGGAAGCAAAATTACAAGTATTACAGAGGGGTGATTTGTTTTATTTTATTAGCAAAATAAAGTAATTGTTGGTAATAGTAAAGATGTTATAAATCGAAAAAATATACAAACTATATTTACAATATTAGAATTAAGTTTATTTACGTTTTTGAGCGCGTAATAATTGTTTACTAGAAACTTCAAACAGTTTCTTATTTATGTGGCGCAGTCTATCGATTTCTTGTCGCAAAGCCTTTACTTCATCTTTGTCTTCGGTTTTTGTGTCTGTCGTAGTTTTTGTAATGCCGGAACTTAGAAGGGGACTAGCGATAATCGATTGTTGTGTTTGTCGTGGGGTGTAATCACATTCATCATCGAATGTGTTGGAATCTACCATAATTTCTATGGGCATTTCATCGGCACCTTCGGGATCAATCATGCGTTTCAGACTGGCTGCAAAAACTAATGGCTGCTTATGTTCAGGATTAAAGATGGCAGGATTTGTAAGTTTTAAATGAATATTTGTAATGGCTCCTTTAAATGTTAAAGTTTTCAACAGTTGTCTGCTGGAAATGTTCCATACAAGAACTTGACTGTCACTTGCTCCCGATATCAATGTTTTGCCATCAGCGGATATAGATAAACAGTTCACTGAACTTGGCTTGGTGTGACCGCAAAGTTGTTTTGGAGCTTCTTCAAAGTGGTATTCCTTAAAAAAACATATTAATTAAAATTTGATTGGCATTAACGGTCACATCATCAACTCACCTTAACTCTGGGCACATCATTTACAAAGAAATCAAATATACTTCCAGAATTTGTTCCAACAAATACTTGCGTTTCCAAAGCATTCACTGCCACACTTTGAAGACCCTCGGCAAAAACAACACTCAAGAGAAGAGTTCCACTATTTAGATCATATATTTTACACGATCTATCTAGAGATACCGTAAACATGTAGCCTCTCATACCACCTGCGCCAACATAAACATCTGTCACTGGTAGACCATGATCATTGAATGTATACAGTGGAGCTAAATTTTCTTCATGCGCTACAACACGTGCCAGATTCCACACCAAAACGGCACCGTCTTTGCCACAGCTCACAAAATGTGAACCATCACTGGTAAACTTAACACAAGTCACCGTTTGATAATGTTTTGACAGAGTATTCATCATCCGTCCCGTTAAAATATGCCATACATATAGCGTTTCCTGTATACCAGCCACCATGTAGCTGCCATCGGGGGATATCGCTAAAGCTGTCACTGCTCCTGGCACAACGAAACGTATGGCTGTCATTTGTTCTTGTGCATTTATGGGCCAAACGTGCAACAGTGGCTTAGTTTGGTTTCCAGCCACAATATATTGGGAACGTAGCACCGAAAGAGCGTGCAGAGCTGCACCGCCTCCGCCACCCTTATAATTCATTAAATTTGTACCGGTGCGAAAATCCCATGCCGAGCAGGATATTTGATTCTCATTAGCATTGCTCACAAAGAGGACTTCCATGATATTGTTGGCAGCCATTCGAATGATATATTTTTAATATTTTATATATTCTAAATACCGAAAATTCCACAAACAAGCGAATGGGTTCGAACACGTGTGGTTTGTTTTGATCCTTCTTCTTCGAACAATGTGACACTCATGCTGAAGTGATAACAGCGACCCAATAAATTGTAAACTCTAAGATCAGGGCTGCCACTGTTCAAAGTATTTATAACAAAGTGTTTCGAAAATGTTTTTTAATAAAAACTATAACCTATATTCTTGTCATAATAAAAACTTCAACTTTTATTGATGAAAAATAACATAAATCATTTTATTATATTTTAGAGACATGAATTTTTTTTAACAATTTTTACAAGTTAGAATAATTTTACTTTAAAAAATTCAGCTCCAAAATTGATTTGACAGTTCATTGTCCCAGCAGCTGTGTCGATGCGTCTACATGTATTCTTCTACCATGATTTATATCATGGCTCAATAAGGAAGATTTAAAGAACCTAAGAAAAATGCAACTCTGTGCAGAAGACATATTGTGTCCAATAGACTTTAAAACAAGCACCGATAGGTTTTGTTTATTTTACAAACATGACATCATTTATATACAAAATCAGTCAGTTCCCCAAAGCTTCTCAACGAGCTTTTGTAGCCGACTGTACCTGTAGAATTTCCTCCTTCACTATGCAACGAACAATTGAGCGACTGATTCAGATTGAAGGGCCTAGAGGTTCTGTAAACTAAACCATAGTATTGCCTTCCGTTGCGTAGGAGGATGGTGCCCCCGGTTTTTGCGCCTTTGAGGCCTTCTTTAAAGATTGCTTAGGTAAAGTCTGCTTTTATGTCACCTTTGCAGTTGAGCAGGGGATTCGACAGGTTTCAGCACTATTCTATAGGTGGAGATCCTGCTGAACGGAATATACCTTAATGCTGCGTTAGGATAAGTATTTTCGAACTTCCTAACGAACCTGATGTTGGTCCTGTTCTTAGTTCTTATCAGTTAGTTTCAATGGATCCCCATCGTTATATCCGCTATAGTAATTTACTGCTAGCCTATATGATTTTCTGTCTCTTGTCTTGCCTTTACTTGGATTAAACGATTTTTTTTTTTGGTTTCGGGAGAACATGTAGACACTTTTCCTGTCTCCTGCCTTGAAAGCATGGGCTTGTTGGTATTCGTCAACGATTTAATATTGGGGACGATGGGACTAATCAAGATGACAGACATTACATATTCACAGATGTATCGATCTTCCATACGTCATAGTTTTTTTGAACGGATACAAGATAAGTACTTGGTAAGCAAAGCTGATATCCTTTAAGGCGCTCTGGTATCAACGATGCTCAATTGGAATATAATCGGTATCCTTGCATTGCAAACATGTAACACTGATGGACACTTGTTCACAGAACACCCCAGCATTACGGGATTCTCTTTATGTGGGGACCAGAACAGATGCCCAATTTGAGCCTTTTTAGGGGCGCCAAAACATCGAATCGTCAGTCTTAGGAACATTGGCTGTAAACCCGTTGATTGTCCCTGACCGCATATTAAATTCACAGCTACCCACAATATCCACTGGGTTTTCCACTATCCGCTACCCATGGTAGAAGAATATAGGTAGATGCATCAACGCTTAGAAACATCGATATGTCAAAAATTTTAAAATGTTTTATCAAAAATAAGTAGATTTTTAAATGTTTTTTATGTTCGGAGGTTGTTACAGTATGCATTTTTCAATAATTTTTACAAATGTTAATAATTTTTCCTTTAACATTTGCAATTCCAAAATCGTTTTGACAGTTCATTATCCCAGCAGCATCATGCCTCTACCTGTGGATGCGTCATAAGCCCGTTCTTATAACTTTCCTTTATAGTCCACTTTTGTTATCCCTTACTTTAGGAAAAGTGAAGGATAAAGTTCACATTATTACATCTCTCTTCGAAAATATATGCATTTTTTTACAGAGATATGGCAAGCTTTTTGTAAAGTAACTGGTAGTCACTGCATTTTTTCACAATGGCATCTTCACTTTAGCTTAAAAATAAAAAAGAAAACGTATTTGTAATTAATTTCGCGAAATAAATTTATAATTCAGTTCATCAATATAAAATAAACGATTTGTATTTTCCATTTTTTATTTAATTAAATGTTGCTTTTATCGTCATATCTTCAATATGAAATATGGCAACATTAATTCAATAAACTTTACGTTAAAAGATAAAGGGAAGATGGTCTAACCTTTTGCTTACCGGACAGTTCATACTTCATGAGTATGTAATAACAAAAAAGATTTATGAGTCCGACAACATCACTTTCTAATCTATCGGAAAGATGTAATAACCGGCCATAGATATGTAGATTCTGTAGGTAAATGTTTTATTACTTTTACTCTCGGTTAGTTTTTAATCAGCAAGATTTTACTGAGCGAGTGAACGGACCTATTATCAAAAATACAAATCGAGTGAATGCCACTTTTTAAGAAGAAGAAGAATACAATTCTACAAATATAAACAAACAATTAGCAATTATTAAAGATTAGGCAGAATTTCTGCACAAACTTACTTTTAATTCTAAATCGATTTACAAAAGAAAATACATACAAATTCTTGTAAGTTTAGAATGAGATCCCTGAATTGAAAAAAAAAAACATCTGGTAAAAGAACAGTCTGTCATGCCAATTGCTAAAAGCAAAAAATCTTCAGACGGCAACAAAAAGTCTTTGTTTTGGTTACAATCCTTTGAGGTTGCGCAGTTGACTTTACTACATTGTGATCATCTTGGAATTGAAATATTTAAAGATGTATAGTTGGTTAAAAATAAAGCAAAAACTGAGATTATAGAGGTTCAAATAGTAAGCATACATTGACTTGGAGTATATGTTTTGGTTTCGTTTAGAAGAGCTTGGATGAGGTGGTCCACATGTAATAGTGTAGGGATGAGCAATACTAAACATGTCAAATTTAAGGTGAGATTTTGAGGGGGAAGTAGGAACGTTTTGCGTTCTTTCGGAGGTGATGGTCAAATTATCGTAGAGACCCTAATTTGAAAAATATCTTCAGTCAGCTAGACCAAGCATTCGAATATCCTTAATTTTACCTGTATTCATGTCTAGCTAGTTCCTCCACCGCTTTGTTCGTTGACCCATTGATTTGGATTGCTATACTATTTAGATTTGGTTCGTTTTTATGTCCTCACGGAGAATGTCTTCATCAAATTCAAGCAAAATGGTATTCATGCTTTTAAGAACTCAAACATATGCTGCTTTAGAAAGATAGCTCTTTGAGCATCAGGCACTCCATGTTATCAGCTCCTACTTCAATAGGAATGAGGTTTTATATAAATTTCTTTTAGAAAGTATTATTTGAAGTTTTAAACAACTCTTCTTGCCATTTAATATTTATATTTAAATATAGATCCTTACCCATTCTCTCAGAATGAGATACTGCAAACTTTGCAAGAAAAAGGAGGTCTCTGGAGGAAAGGTGAGATTTTTTTCCGTTCCACAAGATGATGCCACGAGGTTAAAATGGAGTAAAATATGCGGTGTAAAACTTTCAAAGTCAGTCAAAATATGTTCGGATCACTTTCATAAAGCACACATCATACATTCTGGGAAACTGCATCGTCTTTTGAACAGTGCTGTGCCGCTTATAGGCAAACCTGTTGAGCCTCCCCAACAAATCGTTAAACAAATAGGAGAGCCTATAAGATTTATAGGCAAACCACAACTTACTGTGTATGTTATTTATAGTTTTACAGAATCAATCATTTTAAACAAATTTGTTTATTTATCGTAATCAGAAGACGAGTTATTGTGAAACAAGCGAATCGAAGTAACCCAGTTAGAAATAGTAACGTGAGTGTTGCTAAAAAGACTTCAACTGAAACGCAAAGTACTCCAATTGACTTGGACAAGGAGGATGAATGTGTGGTAACATCAGATTCAGTTGGAACTCAAAGTACACCAGTTGTCGTTGAAAGTGGAGATGAAAGTGATACGGAAAGTGAATCCGAAACTTCAGAGTATGAAGGAAGATGGTTTTATGGTCATAAAACCCCACAATATAAATTAGTTATTAATAAAAAGACCCAAACGAGGTTGGATTTATTTAATTTTGTTTTTATCTACAAAAATATAACATTGTTTTTATTTCAGACCCGTAGTTATTGCCGCAGAAAGTAAAAAATACACCGACCAAATAAGGGAATTGAAAAAAGAAAATAAAAAACTAAGAGAAGAACTGGAAGAATGTAATACAGCTCTAAAAGCCATAAGTAAAATATTTACTGACAATCAGATAAGAAAACTAAAGTCCTTTAACAATTCTGTACAATGGCAATGGGAGGATGTTGCAAACTCGTTATCTTTGCACGCTGCGGGGCCGAGAGCCTACAAACATATGTATCGCAAAGGATTTCCCTTACCAGCTTTGTCGACATTGCATCGTTGGACTTCAACTCTAATGCCTAAGGAGGGCCTTCTAACGCTGTCGTTGGACCTGTTGAAACATGTCAGTTACATGACGGTGGATGAGAAGTTTTGCATATTATCATTTGACGAAATGAAAGTGTCTGGAACGTATGAGTACAAATGTAACGAAATTACAGAACAGAGACCGGCAAATAGTGTTAATGTTATTTTGGCCAGTGGCCTAAAAACATCATGGAAACAACCTGTATACTTTGATTTTGATTGTAAAATTACCAAGGAAATTATATTGGATGTTACTTCAGCCTTGTGTAAAGAGGGTTTCCCTGTGGTGGGCATTGTCTGTGATATGGGACCATCAAATCGGGAACTATTGAACGATTTGGATATAACAGTCGGTGAGTTTTGTTATACGAAAAATATAATGTTGAATTTGACTTTTATGGAAAAATGTTTTGTTTGAAATATTGTTTTTTTTTTTTTTTTTGAAAATATTCCATTAGTGCTTTGATAAAACGAGAAAATCAACTGTGGTACCTCCTAAAACGGAGTAGTAATTCTAAATAAGTAAAAACAGTAATAAGTAGATTAAAAATCTTAAACTCATGAACTCCTTATGAGTTCAATGTTTTCAAGATGGTTGCAGTATTCTACATATAATCATGGGCCAGTGATAAAATATGTTATTTTTATTTCAAACCCTTCCATTTAATTCGATGCCGAACTCTACACTATTCTTTATATGTTTCCATGTATTACTTTCATCCTTTTTGTTTTCAGAAAAGCCATGGTTTCCAAATCCTGTAAACGCAGAAGAAAAAGTCTTCATGTTTTTCGATGTTCCGTGTCTCTTGAAATTGATGAGAAATCAATTTTTGTATACCGGATTTAAAGTAAATGACCAAACAATTGATTCAACAATAATTCATGAACTAGTAAAGCTGCACAAAAAGAGTGACAAAACAATAAACTTGAATCTGGTCGAAGAGCATCTAACAATTGGTGGTCAAGGTGTGTAGAAATTGAAATTTGAAATGATATATTTTGAAAAAATACATAATGCATATTTCTAGGAAAACATAGTATGAAACCAGCCACAACTCTATTTTCAAATACCACTGCAAGTGCACTACGGAAATATTTTTCATTAGGCATGGAGTTTTCTAAAGCCAGTGAGACAGCAAATTTTATAGAAATAGTTAATGATTGGTTTGATATTCATAATTCATCGTTAAAAGACTATTCCCAGATTGGCAAGGTAATGAAGAGATTTTCCATGTTTATGGTGTTGTATAATATCACAAATTTTATTTTTATTAGGAAGCCTATGGTAAAAAATGGGAAAAACAAAAGGCCGCTTTAGATAGAATGAACGATGTCATGTCAAAACCACTTGTGCCAAATAAAACTACATTGGAATTCTTTCAAAAAGGTGTCCTAATAACCAACAATTCATTGGAAATGCTTTATCAGTACTTGAAGAAACACGATTTTAAACACATACTAACGAGACGTCTAAACCTAGATGGCATTCAGCATTTCTTTGGTTTAATTCAGGAGAAAGATGCCAAAGATGAAACTCCGACACCACAAGACTTTAAAATAAAAATGCGAAAATATATATTGGGTATATAATATAATAATAATATTATTTATATAATAATATTCTATTCTTTGCAGCACGAAATGCCCAATTACTTTCGGGCAAAGCCTTCAGTGACACCACAGACTTGATAAAAAACAAAGATTCCGCCACTGAAGTGTCTAAAGTTAAACCACCAGAGGCAAAAAAATCCAAAAAATCAGCCAATTACAAGGACATCATTTCGTTGGCAACCCAAAAAGGAGATCTTGATGAGTTTAATGGTTCAATTTTAGAAGAAATTCTTCGAGGTGATATTTTTTGAGCTGGAAAATATTTGTGGATTTTTTTGAAATATCAGATATAAATTGCATGTGAATGATTTAATAAATTATTTGTTTCTTTTTCTTAAATGTACATATTTACAATATTCAATTTAACTGTAATGTAGTTTTTACGGAAAATGCGTTAATTTTAATAAAATTAACACTTATTGTTTTAATTCCAAAGTTTTTTTTTAGTTAATACAAGAATAAATAAAGAAATTTTGCTAAATGTGTTGGCTTAAGTCTAGTTCAGTAAAACTCTTCAAAAATCCGGGTAAAAAAAATTGATAATTTGACTATAATTTCCGAATCGAAATTTCCCGATCATCTGATTTTTTCGGATAGGTATTTTCATAAGCTCTCAAACGATACCTATATTGTCTATATCGGGTAAGTGGATCCGGGTCCAACCCGGACTTTCGGAAGAAAACTCTGGGGTCCCGGGTCCGTCCCCCAAGAAAAAAATAGTTTCCCGGAATCATCAAATACCTACCTCTGGAAAAAATTTCGAACCATTCAACCAGATTTGCAATAAAATAAAATAGATCTTTTCACGGCCGGATTTATTTTAAATTCAGTGTGGATTCTACATACTAACGGAAAGCATCACTGGGTATAGCAATAGTACAGCATTACTACTGCGGTACACTCTCAAGTCGCAAATATTTCCGCACTCATTATATTATACATACGGGACGGGCCGAACTTTGAATACCCTCCACCATTTAGAACGAATTTGGCAATTTTCATAAAAATGAAATATGGGGGCTATACGAAGACGTGGACTGGCACAGACAATTTTCTGTTTTAATCTGTAGTATCCATTACGAACTTCAAATACCAAAATTTAAAACAATTCCAGGTAATAATGTCGCTAAAATCGTCAAAATACCGAATATCGGGAGGTATCGTTATATGGGGGCTATACAAAGACGTGGACCTGCAAAGACAATTTTCTGTCAAAGGCTGTAGTATCCATTTCGAACTTCAAATACCAAATTTGAAACAATTCCGATGAATATTGCCGCTAAAATTATCAAAATACCGAATATCGGGAGGTACCGTTATATGGGGCTATACCAAAACGTGGACCTATATGGCCCATTTTCAATACCAAAAGTCCTGCAGACATAATATACATTTGAGTAATTTTTTTTTTATCAGTCTACTTCAATTCAATCGGAAGCTAGAGTGATTTCCACAGACGGGCGGACATCGCTAAATCGACATTGAATTGTATGCTGATCAAGAATATATATACTTTGTGGGGTTTAAAATGTATATTTCGAGGTGTTACAAACGGAATGACAAACTTGATATACCCTCCATACTATAGTGGAGTAAACAAAACCAATTGTTGCATGTTTAAAAGTCTATTTGACACAATACGACTCTAATATAGAGTTGCATTTTCTTAGTTTCTTTAAAGTTGAACAACCTTTGTTATTGAGCACAACAAATATTAGCTGAGCGGATTATATATGCTCTTAAAGGATAATCTAAGCTCACAGGATCTATTAAACCCAATGGGTTAATATTCAATTATATTAAAAAATGCGCTATTATCAGGTAATTATCAGATAAGTAAATATGGTTTTTATATTTACAGTGAATTTTAATATACGGTGTGTTATCATTCCACAGTGAATAGATAATTTACACAAAAGAAGAAGAATACCACCATCACAAACATTAGAAACGTGGGCTCCAAAAAAACCTATTAGTTGTTGATCCATAAACAATGTAAAAATGGCTCCAAGTAAAGAAGAGGAGACAACTTTATCCTTACCTCAAAAAAGATATTACCGTCAACGGGCTCATTCAAATCCAATAGCAGATCATTGCTTTGATTAGTAAGTTAAATAATATCGATCTGGAAAACGTTTACTCAAAAGCCATTTTATTTTATTAGTCCAGCTCATCCAGATGATGTACAATGGAAAGATCTATACCCAGAGTACGATGCATACAATCCCCCCAAAAAAGTGGAATTTGCCGATATTGGTTGTGGTTATGGTGGTTTTCTAGTTACCCTAGGTGAAATGTTTCCCGACCGTCTAGCCATTGGCATGGAAATTCGTGTAAAAGTATCCGATTATGTGATGGATCGTATAAAAGCATTACGTTCTTTACATCCTGGCAAATATAATAATATTGCCTGTATACGCACCAATGCCATGAAGTACCTGCCTAATTATTTTGTAAAACATCAACTGGATAAAATGTTCTTTTTGTATCCAGATCCACATTTTAAGAAAGCCAAACATAAGTGGCGCATTATTAATCAAGCTCTGTTATCAGAATATGCCTACGTTCTTAGAAAAGGGGTGAGTGATAATGACATATTATTTTGGCGTTCATTCTTAAGGAATCCATGTATTTCTAGGGCCTTGTTTACACAATGACTGATGTTGAGGATCTGCACAAATGGATTGTAAAACATATGGAAGAACATCCGTTGTTTGAACGAGTTTCTGCAGATGAAGAGGTAGGTTATCTGTAAATGAATAATTGTAAAGCATTTGATTAACAGATACTATCTATTGCAGGCCAATGATCCCATTACTCCCAAGTTGTATCAAAGCAGCGAAGAAGGTGCTAAAGTTGTGCGCAATAAAGGTTCACATTTTTTGGCCATATTTCGTAGGCTATAAGAAATTTGAAATTGATAAATATTTAAATAAAAAAGATTATTTTCTACTAAAATATATTTGTTTTGTTTATTTCTGATGATGATTATAGAACGGCTTGTGAAAATATCCACAATTCTCTGAAAAGATCCCATAACTCATAATTTTCATCATGAAATTTGTGCTGAAAAAAAAATTAAAAACCTTTTTCTCGTTTAAGTTTTATATACATTTAGTTTTATTTTCAGAATTTAGAAAAAAATGAATAGTCCTCTCTGAAATAGAATCGTTAAAATTATCCCGCACACTTTAATCAGTTAACTCAAATATCTCTTGATCATAAATAATATGTCAGCGTTTCCGGTTTCTGGAATCTCTAGATGTCTCACGGTGAGAATCACGATGTGAATTATAACTGCTATGATGATGTTTGCCTGCAGCCGATGAAGACGAATGATGGTGATGATGATGCATATTGGGACGTTTGTCACGATCGTCGTACTTATCACGCCTATCCATATACTTTTCAGCGTGACGTTCTCGGGAAGATTTCCTAAAAGAAAAAGAACAATTTATGTATTGATGCGTAACATGTATATAATGTAAATCGGAACCTTTTGCGATGTTTGGAATGTGGTGAACTAGATGGAGATCTCGAATAGTTACGAGACTTTTTCTTGTTCTTGAGTGAAGGAGGCGATCGGTCTCGCTCCCGTTCACGTTCTCTTTCACGTTCACGATCTCTGCCACCGCGATCACGTCGAGACTTCTTGTAACGGCTTGCCGAAGTCGAACGAGAACGTGACCTTGATCGCGATCTAGATCGTGTGCGTGAACGAGAACGTGATCTTGCGGTACGTCGTGAATCTCTTGATCGTGAACGAGATGGTGAGCGGGACTCTTTGCTGGGTGACTTCTCATTGGGCAGTGGAAGAGGTACAGCTCGTTGTATAAAACCACCCCATGCATTGTGAGAACCATTATTACGGTCCACCGTGGTAACCGCTGGGGGAGTATGAGTTTCTTTACTTTTGTTTCGTGATTCTATGTAGCGTTTTTTCAACTCCTCAACGGCAGCTTCAAGTTTTTCCACATTCGGTTTGCCACGAGTATACAACTCCATTACACGATAACAAATGTCAATGATATCATCCTCATTCACCTGGAAAATGCCATACCACGGATTTGGATGGGTTGGCAGGGCAATATTCAACTTCCTAGCACTCAAATAAATGCATGCACAAGCAATTGTCTCTGGGTTATAACGCATAAAGACATCTGTACGCAACGAATCATTCATGAAATTCCAAGACATTTGCATTAGTTGTTGATGCTTCTCATATTTTAGCACCTGCAGATACATAACAATCAATTTATGTGGATGTTTAACGTGAACACAAAAGCCCAATTCTTTAAGTACACGACGTTCTGCTTTAATAACTTGAGTCTTTAGATTGGTATAATATTGATCCAAAATCATGGGAGTAATATCTCTACAAAAAAAAGAGGAATTCAAATAGCGCTAACGGATTTGTTGTTATTTCATTCTACTCACTTTTGCGCTCTCACTTGTTTGATGTGATGGAAAACATTGATTACATCGCGTATCCGTCTTGGGGCTTCTTCGATTTTTGATGCCAAACATACACAACTCATGGCCACAGTTTCCATGTTGTGACGCACAAAACTTTTGGAATAAAAAAATCTCTGAAATATTACTTGACCTGTGGCCATTGCCACTTGGGGCAACTTCAGCAGGATTCCAGCTGTTTGTATCAATTCACATCCCAATATACGTAAATCTTTTTCAGTTTCAGCATCCAAGCCATCCAAATGTGATGGAGTCTCATCAAGTTTTGATTCCGGTATCAGACTGTTTTCCAATGTCAAGACGATTTTATTATACAAACGTGGAAACGCCGGTTTGGTTTCTGTTGAATTTGCATTTGCAGTCTCATTATTGGCATTATTATTTGCCATAATCATCTTTTCGATATAGGAATTGTCTCAGCTCCCAGCTCCTCGCCAACTGAATTGTTAACAAATGCATTCACCAGAAATGATAGCAAAGAAGGGTTACCTAAGTCGAAAAAAGAAGGCTTTATATAGGCCCGGTCCACACACTGGTATTTCTATGAAAAGAATATCACGAAAGTTGGCGTTTTTAACTGAAGCTCTTGAGACGAAAAATACATAGTTTTAAAAAAGTTTCATGTAAATACTTTCATGAAATTACTCGTGTGGATATTTTTTCCAAAAATAAAAATTTAATTATTTTTCCATTTGATTTGTTTATACCATAAATACATTAAGGTGGGAATACATAAAGCACTTATTTGGCTGGCTTAAGTCATTGGCTGGCTTCTTCGAAAAAAAAAAACAAAGGAGCCTAGGGCCGAAATCAAACTAAGTCAAGCTAAAATTCCTGTGTTCCTTTACGAAAAAGCCAGCCGATGACTTAAGCCAGACAAATGAGCGCTTATGTAATCCCATCTTTAAGCATCTTCTTAAAAGCGCAATTTGGCTGACTTCTTCGTAGATAAACACATGAGTTTTAGGTTGACTTATTTTGATTTTGGCCCTAGGATACCTTGTTCTTTTACGAAGAAGCCAGCCGATGACTTAAGGTGAAAGTACATAAAAAGCTTTTTTGACTGGCTTAAGTCATCAGCTGGTTTTTCGTAGAGGAACAAACGAGCTTTAGGTTGACTTAGTTCGATTTCGGCCCTAGGCTCCTTTGTTCTTTTCCGAATAAGTCATCCGATGACTTAAGCCAGTCGGAAAAGCGTTTTATGTATTCTCACCTTTAAACCAGTCAATGAAGCGTTTTGTGTATTCTCACCTTAAAGCTACAAAAACTACGAAAAATGTATGAAAAGTCAAACTTTCTTTTTAAAATATGCTCTGTTTCAGAACCTGCAATAATCTACTATTTTGCAACTTTCTCGATATCAAAATGGATAATCGGTTATCGTAGTAAAAACTTTTACTTTCTTGCAGTTCTGGAATAGACCAAATTTTATTATTTTATGCACACATTTTATATATGCTCTGTTCCAGTACCTACTAGTTTTGCATTTTTATCATAAACAAAACATTTATAGTAGTAGAAATTTTTACATTCTTGCAGTTCTGGAACAGAGTCAACTTAAATATGTCGTGAGCAAGCATTGTACAATAATTAACGTGTTTTAAATGAATTTTTATAAAAGGTATAAAATTTATCTTTGGTGATTCATCTATTGACAGTATATAATAGTTCCATATGTTTACAGAAGTTAGATTGAATTAAGATATTGTTATTTAGTTATAAAACTTACGATCACAGTATTAAAAAAAGCTTCATATAAAAATAAATTCAAATATTACAATACTTAGAGTATGGGCAAAGACATAGAAGTATAAAGATAGGACAAGTCAGAGTCAAAATATAAACACCAGGTGGATTTACCTCTGTTGTTACGATATCATAACAACAGTGTATGTTAATTACCAGGAGTGAGAAAATATTTAGTCTCTGAAATGCAATGGAATATTGAGAGAAACAGCTTTAAGCTCAAGAGAAGAATGCCAACACAATACATTACTTTTGTCGTCTGTCATTTCCTCATTCGTTTATTCATATTCAGGGGTAATACAAGTTATAATTTTGAACATTTTTCTAAAGTTAATTTTATTTTGTATTGTACAATATATTAGTATATTGTTCCTTCTTTTTAGATGAGCTGTCCCAAGTTTTGGAATGCCGCATGGGGTAATGATGATGGGGCATGATGAAGCCACACATTTCGTGGAATTTTATTTAGACGCAATGTCAAGCGTCATGATGCATGCTAAGTAGGTGAATCTTTGAAATTGCCGCGTTTTTGAGGCTTTGGAAGAATTGTTTGTGCTCAATCCAAATGCCCACTAACTTGCAAAGTTATCATGAGGTTTGAGGTCCTCAAGTATTTTTGTGCTTTTTATTCGAATTTGGTGACTAATTTTTATATTATTGCAGCTTTCCTACATTATAGCAATTTCAAGGTAAAAACAAATAATTAGTCGATGCTCTTCCACGTGCTGGCGGTTCAATGTTTGCGTCGAGGGATTTTTAGAGGCGGTGGGAGAAGATTAATCCCTCCACACCAAGCCACAGTTAAACTTAAAGTGGTGGATGGCAAGTTCTTGGTAAGTTCTGAAATGTATGCAATGAAGAACTTAATATGTTTGTACATATTTACTTCTGTGTATAATGTTTTTATACCCTCCACCTTTAAAGGAGGGTATATTATGTTTGTCACTCCGTTTGTAACATCCCTAAATATTTGTCCTAGACCGCACAATGTATATAAATTCTTAATCAGCACAAGATTATAAGCCGATTTAGCGACGCCCCTCTGTCTGTGGGTCTGTCTGTTGAAATCGCGATACTTCCCACAATATTTGACGTGAAGCTTCAAAATTTGGCAGAACAATTTGAATTGTGTCTAGGATGGCTGATATTGAAAATGGGTGCACGTTTTGGTGTAGCCGCCATATGAAGGACACGCCGATATTCGTTATTTTGATAATCCTAGTCACATTTACCCACGAAATTGTTTCATCTTTGGTATTTAACAATCTCATCTCAATGCAGAACAATCTTTGTAGTATAAAATTGCCTATATAGATTCCCGTTTTGGTGTGGCCCCCATATAAAGGCTTCGCCCACTTTATGCTTTTTTCAAAAGTTTAACTTCATTATCCAAAAGTACTACTTGTATTTGCAATTTAAACTGTAACACTTTCAATCCAGATCATCGTCATATATTTAGGTGTTGAAATGGACCAAATACTGGAAAATATCTTATTTTGCGGTGGCTGTACAAGTCGCAATTATAGACCAATCGACATGAAATTGTGTTAAAAAAAACAATGTGTTTATAAAACCGCGAATATTTTTAATCCCGGCGAAAGTCAATTCTGACCATTGCGTAGATGCCGATTGTAAAGATATCGGATATATATAGCGAAATATGTAGAATCAATAAATAAAATGGAAATGGATGTTAGTTTGAGCGCTTATATGTCAAGAATGGCTGGACTGATTTTGACAAATCTTGTCAATTCAGAATGCGCTTTTGGCATACAGTGTAGGTCATATAGTGTAGGGATATTATTTTGAATTTTTTATCACTATTAATGCGAAGTGATAAACTAAATAAACAATGGAACTAAATTTGGTATATAGAGTAGGAATAAAATTGTTAGTTTCGGTGTTAAATCGGTGTGAAAAGTTCAAAATGTACTCATATTCTACAAATGAAGAAAAACACAATGCTGCATTTTTCAAGCTTAAAAAATCTTACATAAATTCATTTGATATTTGTAGTATTACAAGAATATAATATGGTCATTAATGTTAAAAATTATTTTTTATTGAATAATTTAACATTATTTGAAAGGCAGTAATTTGATTTACGGGTTATATACAATCATCAATATCTCGGCATAACTATAATATTATTTTGAAGAACAGACGAAATAAAAAAGTACATTTATATGTTAGTATGCTTGAAAATGAAATAATTAAGCAATTCGTGCTTTTTAATATTAAACAAATAATAACAAAATAATATTGATTGAGAATATGACAGAATAAAACTTAAACAATTCGTGATAAACATATTAAAAAACTAATAACATAATAATATTCATTGAGAAAATGAAAAATAGTATAAATTAAACAATTTTTGCTTTTTTAAAGTATTTTAAACAAATAATAACAAAATAATATTAATTGAGAAAATGACAGAATAAAACTTAAACAATTCGTGATAAACATATTAAAAAACTAATAACATAATAATATTCATTGAGAAAATGAAAAATAGTATAAATTAAACAATTTTTGCTTTTTTAAAGTATTTTAAACAAATAATAAAATAATGATATTAATTGAATAAGTGGGTAGTCGAACTCGAAAGGAAAAGAAAATAAAAGCAGAAAAGAGGTTCTATATTAACAGAGAAGACAATATCCGAGATACATCAGAAATAAGTCATAGCTGTAGGGCACGTAGCACAAACTGTTGTACACTACGTATACTTAAAGAATAAAAAAAGTAGCGAATTAAAAAAAGTTTATTAAAAAAGAACGTTGTTAATAAAAAAAATTGTTAATAAAAAAAAATTGTTAATAAACAAATTGTTGCTGTTTATTTAAAAAAAAAAAAAAATAATAAAAATAACTGTTTAAATGAAAAGAAAAAAGTGAAATTATGTTATTTGTATTGAAATTTAAATTCATAAGAGCCTTCTTATTTGAAATTTAAACGCAGCATACTTTTAAAGTATATCCAGACTTGATCCGTTTTAAAGTTATAATGTTTTAAATTCAAACCATATATTAAAAAAAAAAAAATAGGCTTATTAATTTAATTTCCTATACATATAACATTTATGTGTGTATAGAGTATTAATAATGCAAAACGATTCTGTGTTGGTAAGCTATAAACCTAATTGGCATGAAAAAAAGTTACGACGCTAAAAAAAATACCGGATCTATAAATTTACAGTTCGAATGTTTAATTTCTTCAACTTTTTCTTATTCTTTTTTGCTTTTAATAATATTTCACTCAACCACTTAGAATTTTTATAAATTAAAGTGTTTAGGGTAAAGTCCAAACATTCTAACCTATGTTTGAAACAAACATCATTTGCATCAAACCAATTGAACTTTTCATTTGTTTTTTCTATTATGTAGTCCGATATTTTTTTCTTTATATTTTGTCTTGATGCAAATTTGTTGAAAGCTACTTTGTAACATTTCATCTGAAAACTGAAAATTTCGAAAAAGTTGTCTGATGGATTAATTAAATTTAAGGAATTAACACCGAAATTTTTATTTTTTATTAGCAATTCCGATTCCGAAGACAATTTGTCGTCCTTTTTCATTTGGTCCACACAACGACAGCATTTTGTCTTTTGGACTGCACTCTTGTAGATTGTGTACCCTGAAACATACCTTTTAACTTGTGTTTCACACAAGTTTATGTCCTCAAGGAACTCTGAATCATCTTCGGAGTCGGAATTAGAG